GTGGGATTAAATTTTAGGTATGATTTTAGTGTTTGTTTATGTCAAAAATTTATGCGTTAAAAAGAATTTTGAGGCAGTAAGATAAAAAAAATATGAATATTTTATTTATAAGTAATATTTTCAATTTTTTACCATCACGATATATAAAAGTAAAGAATAAGGGTTAAAGAGATGTTTTTTTATTTATATATTTTATATTTTAAAATTATTATTTTATTTTTTTTATTTTCTTTTAAAAAAAAAACGAATAATGGAGACTTAAATGTGGCGCAAGTACCCTCCTAATGCTCTAAATTAAAATAAAAGAAAAAAATTGATGGGTAGTATTATTTGTATTTTTTTTTTTATCAATTGGATTAATTTAAAATAGGTGTAGTTATATAAGGCTGAGTTCCCAACCAATTAAAGTAAGGCACACCTTCAAATAATGTATGAACATGTTGTTTCAATATAAAAAATCTTGGTGATAACCTAAAATTTTATTTTCATCTCTAATTATAAAATTTAAATTTCAAAAATAGTGTAGATCCAATGGATCTATAAGCACCTGAAACTCTTGAACATTGACGGTCTAGATAATACATTATAAGTTGTACTATTTCCAAGACTTGAAGTCTATTTTTTCTCATGTTCATATATCTTGAGGTCGAGATGATTGAATTAAAGGCTCTTCAACATTGAAAGAACCAATTCTAGTGAGTTTTTTAGGTATACCTTAATTTGATTGTTTAGAGCCTCACATTTACATAGACATTTTCCATTTAAAATTTAAGGCAGCCACAGCCACCAAACATGGCGCATTTAAAAAAAAACAAAACAAATATATATATATATAAGTAATTAGCAAAAAAAAAATAAAGATGATCAAAATGTACTTCGTTTAACTTACGTTTTACAAATTATGTTTTACATTTGAGGTGCACCTTCTTCGACTTGGTCACTAAGGCTAAGGCCTCGACATCCACCTTTTCACAAAGGCCGATGGTTTCCACGCTTAATGTTGACATAAATACCTCTAAATTTCATCTCAATCCAATTAGTAGAACAAAAATAAAACTAACCATATACAACAATAGAAAACTATACCTTTCATACTTTTCCTGATGTGGACAACTGAGGGTGATCGTAGACCATTCGAATGTCTGCATGTGAATTGCTATATGTTCATTTTAAAAAGGGAAAAGTTTATATAGAGCCTAGGCTCTAAACAATCAAATTGGAACCTACTTCAAAATTTTCATTAGAAGAGGTTGTTTTGATGCCCAAATATCATCAAATTAATCATCTCGACATCAAGATGCATGGACATGAGAAAAAAAATGGATTTCATGTTTTGAAAATAGTGCATCTTGTAACATATTTTTGGACCGTCAATTTTCAAGATTTTCAAAATTTCATATATCCGCTCTATCTATACTATTTGTTAAACTTAAAATTTTATAACTAAAGATGAAAATATAATTTAAAGCTATTATAAAACTTTCCAGCCGTATTTCTCGACATTATTTGAAGGTGAGCTCTAATTTGATTGTTTAAAGCCTTGGCTGAGTACAAACCGCACCCAATTAGCCATTTGGTATAGTGCATGGCCTTATCAATTGAAAGAAACTTGACCAAAATGTTGATTCCATGGCCACTGTACTTCATGGAAAGGAGAAGTATTTATTTTCGATTCGTCGCGTCCATCAGACTTTAGAGTGGACCATTCATTGGATTGTGTCAATCTCTTTTCCACCCATATTGCTCGACTCCTTTTTGGGGGAGATCTACATTGGAATATAGTTATGGGGTGTAGTTTGCATGAGGTTGGAATATTAAATAATCAAAATACGATGCACCTCCAAATTTTGACACAATATGTAATTTCATGTCAAAAATTCTTAAGATGTCCTAAAAATCTACTCTTTTTTTATTATTATTATAAAATTTTAAACTCCAAAAATAGTTCAAATCAAAGAAATTCATAAAAGCATGAAAATCTTGAAAATAGATTGTCCAGATAATGTGTTGCAAGATATACTCATTTTGGAACTTGAAATTTTTTTTCTTCATATTCATACATATAGATGCTCAATTAGATCGGTTTCCATCTTCAAAACAACCTCTCTTTTTTTATGGATTTTGGAGGTACACCTTGATCCTACAATATAAGGTGCCAACCAATGTTTCAAAAAGCAGACCGCTCAGTGCCTGGGCGGTTGCCTAGGCGGTCCAAAAGGCCTGGGCGTATCGCCCAGGCCTATGCAGCCAAGTTAGGCGGTTATCCTCAGGCGCCCGCCTAGGTGGCCACCTGAACCCACCTAGGCGGCCTCCTGAACCCAAGGCCTACGTCCCGCCCAAGGGCGGAAATGCTACTCATTGAGGCCATTTTATAGTCATTTTTTTTAATATTAAATGTGCAAAATTATGGGTTTTAGGTTTCAAATGAACCTAAAAACCATTAGAGGCCATTTTTAAGAGAGAAAAACCCAAAAAAAAATAAAAATTGGGGCTAGACCCCCCTGACCGCCTAGGTACCGCCTAGTGCTTTTTGAAACACTGGTGCCAACCTTATATTCACTTTTTCCACATTTATTTGGGTGCGGTCTATACAACCTTAAAGAACTAAAATAAGGCATACCTACAAATTTTGTCAAAAAATATAAAATTGGGATTAGGGAAGGCTTGAAAATCTCGTTATCTCTAATTATGAAATTTAAAGCTCCAAGAAATGATAGAGCAGAATGACAGACTAGCATTCATGTAGTCAACCCCAAGTAGTTAGAAAATTTCTATGATGATGATAAAAACTCTAAGAAATGCCATAGATCAATAGGTAATTTAACATTAAGCAATGGCAAATTTGAATTTTTTTACAAAAATACAGTGGCATTTTAGAAGTTAGTATCCTATAATTTTATTTGTAGATTATTTTTGTCATTTAGTAAAAAATTCAATTTTATCTCTTATAGAGATAACAAAATTATTCATTGTCTTCTAGTGATATTTACAAAATTACATTTACTTAATGATGAAGATATTACAAAAAATAATTTTTTTTTTAAAAAAATAAACTATAAAGTTATAAAATCCACCATTCACAACTCATTCTATCATTCACCTAGGGTTGTGAACTTTAGATTATCCCTTTATAATATTATAAATCTTGAGATTGAGAGATGATGGATGGTTTTTTAATATAAAAAAAAATCATTTTTAGTGGGTTTAGAAAGTGTGTGCTTTCTTCCTATTTACATATAAAGAAGTAAAAGTGGCCAATAAATTAGGGCATTGAATATGGTGTGGTTTAATTCTATAATACATAAGGTTGATGCTTTATATAACCTTTTTAATGCTTTATATAAGCTTTCTTCCTATTTATATATAAAGAAGTGAACGTGGTCAATAATTTAGGGCATTGAATGTGGTTGATTTCCCTTTCGTCATTGTTTAATATAGCGGCTACGTTTTTAATATGAGGAAATAAAATGGTGACAGTTATGGTCAAAAAAATCGATGGCGTGAGGGCATTTCCAAAGTCACAAATGGTTGAATCGAAGGTGGGGGAATAAAAAATATGTCACTCCACACGTCACATAACACCTCTCTTTCTCTCTCTCTAACCCCCTCTCTCTCTCTAAAGTTGAAAGAGATGAAGTGTCTTGGTGAATGTGCATGCACGATAGAGGGGGAGATGAATGGCCTAGAACATTCTAGGACTTTCTTGATGTACCATTTAAAAACCACCACATTATTATTTTTAGAAAAAAAAATCACGTTCGCTAACATATAAATCAAGCCAAGCAGACTGACTATGTTCAATTTTAGTATATCATTTTTTATAGGCTCTCATATAGTATGTTTGAAATATTTTATCTCTAAAAATTAAAGATGATATCTTCAATGTTATCAAGTTTGCTTCAATTCGGTTGATGAGATTTAAGACTTCATATTTTTGTCTTAGAACGAAGCAAAGCCTAGTGTAGTCGTTTCGGTTAGCTTCATGTTGCTTTGGGTTGTTTCAGCAGTTGAAGCAAAGAAATGTCTTTTTTTAAAATAAAAAATTTAATTGTAATTTGTATTAATTTAATATAATATTTTTATATTATTTGTATTAATTTTTTTAAATAATTCTAAAATATTCCCTTAAATTGGCCAAAACACCAAATTTCTTTATATTTTTTAAGCAACCTAAGGAAAGCTCTTAAACTAATTTGACGACAATGGTTCACTCCATTCAAGAAGATAAATCCCAAAAATCAAGAAACATAAAATTACTCTTATATTAAGATTTATCAAAGGAAATAAATAGACAGAATGATCTCTCTGGTGAGTTGCAAAATGAAGATCGACGGTGATTCCTATCTTAAAGATTTCCCATTGAAATTCCCGGGGGCCAAAACTTTGAACAAATTAGGGATAAAAATACTACCCAAAAACGAATTTTTACTCGTGCTTTATTACAGATTTGCACCTTAACTTCACCAAAGTCAAATCTTTGAACAAAATTGGAAAGCCACATGGCCCACATCTACCCAGGGCACTTTGGATTCTTCCTTTACAACTTCAAAGGATAAAACAATAGTCAAATCTTGCTGGAGAAGAAAGGACCTCAATTACATTGAGCACAATATACTATGCTCCCTCGGGAGAATAGTTTACTTCAACTCCCTTTGTCAAATGACTTGGGGGAAATTTTGATAAGGACCTTATAATCACTAGATGATTATTCAAAAAAAAAAAAGAAAAAGAAATTTGATATCTCTAACATAAAAAAAAATGGAGGGTTTCTATTCAATCCTCAGACATTTTTTTTTTCAAGTACTTAAATTATTGAGGTCAAAACTAATCCTGGGTGAAGTTTTACCTGAAGGAGTAAATTGACAGCATACTCCCGAGGGAGTACAATATATTATGGCATTAATCATTTCCTATTTTGTCAGCCCTACATAATGAAAATTAAATTATTATGTTTAAAATAAGCTACAATGTAAAGAAATAATAAACCTGAAAAAAAAAATGGTAAAGAAGGGCTTGAAAGAAGAATAAAGAAATGGATGGAGTGCACAATAAAAGCAGGCAGCCCCGTCACTTCTCATCCTGAGAAACCATCGAAAGAAAACCCTAAAAATATATCACGATGTCAGCTTCTCTTGTTGGCTCTCCCATACTCCCTGAATCCATTCGATCGAGGCGTCCCACTAAGAAAACCCTAAGCCTAAAATCCATGGCCACCTGTGTCGAAAACTCAAGAACAGAGACCCCCAGAAAACCCAATTCTTCATTTGAAGCAGACCGACAAGATGACTCTCTCTCACAATTCGTCAAATTCTCGAGACCCAGCTTCTCCGATCTCCTCTCTTGCTCCCCAAGCAAGCCCCAAACCCTAATTTCACAGGATTCAGAAACCCCATCTCCGTATTTGGACGAGATATGGATGGAGATCAGGAAACAAGCTGATCGGGATGCAGAAGAAGAACCAGTTCTATCAGGTTACTATCACTCAGCTATTCTCAGTCACGATTGTTTAGAGAGTGCATTAGCCTTCCACTTGGGGAGCAAGCTCTCCACCCCGAGCTTACCTTCCACAACTCTCTCGGAGGTCTTCTTATCCGCCTTCATGGCAGATCAAACCATCAGAATCGCCATAAGAGAGGACCTCAAAGCGGTGAAAGAGAGGGACGCGGCCTGCATAAGCTATGTCCAATGCCTACTAAACTTCAAAGGCTTTCTCGCCGCACAAGCTCACAGAGCAGCGCACCACCTCTGGGAAAACGGCCGGCTATCCCTAGCTCTGGTCATCCAAAACAGGGTCTCAGAGACATTTGCAGTCGATATTCACCCAAATGCGAAAATAGGGTTAGGGTTTCTGATGGACCACGCCACAGGCGTCGTCATCGGAGAAACCGCCATTATTGGAGACAACGTTTCTCTGCTGCATAACGTTACACTCGGCGGTACCGGCAAAGATAGCGGCAATCGCCACCCGAAAATTGGCGACGGAGTCTTGGTAGGGGCCGGAACCTGTATTTTGGGCAACGTTAAAATTGGGGAAGGCGCCAAAATTGGTGCTGGTTCGGTGGTTTTGAAGGAGGTTCCGGCCAAAACGACAGCGGTTGGGAATCCGGCGAGGCTGATAGGGGGGAAGGACAACCCCGTGAAAATGACCAAAATGCCCAGCTTTACTATGGACCACACCTCCTGGTCGGATTATGTGATATGAGGTGAGGAGGGGTAGATTGGGGATGTTAAGTTTTAGGTGGCGTGTATGGTGTGTGTGCGAGGACTGCGTGTTCAGTTGCTTGCTGAAGAAGGGTCTGTCTCTTCTTGATTTAATCCCCTAGTGGCACTGCCTTTTTTGCTTCAATTTTGTTTTATTGATACATTGTGGGGAATACTGGAATATGACATACTTATTACCATGTTATTATATGCTCATTGGTTATTATTTTCCGCTTTTTTTTTTGTTTGTGTTAAATCTGCTACTCCGAATTGTATTTTTAATTTTTTTACTCAGCATGCTATATAGGGGTGGCAACGCGTAATAGTATTCGAATCCAAAATTTAGACTCATACCTAAACCCGTTGTATCTCAGGTCTACCAGTTGGGGCTTAGGTCTGGTCAGATCTATTGCCACTCTACGAATATGAGTTCTTTTTGTTTTTTTTTTGCCTTTTTTTTTTTTACCATCATATATCTTGTGACTTTTTTTTTTTTGCGAATAATAATGTAAATCCCGTCAATATTGTGACAATGTGAATATCTAGCGCGTGTCTAAAATCACATGATTGCTGTATATACCATATGACTACGGGTATTGATCAAATCCAGTTGGACCTGAAACCGAACTTAAATAATATTGGGGTTCAAAATTTGGATCGATACCCGGATCCACCCTTCGGTACCGGGTCTAGTCATGTCCATTGCCGATTGTCTACTTTGGCATAGGACTTAGAGAGAGGCATGATGTTGGCTGCAGGGATAGGATCAGTTACTGAATTGGTGAGGATAAGTTAAAACCCGCCCAATAGGTACGGAAACTGACTGCACTTGACATAATATAAAATATGTTTAAAAATTTATTTGAGGTTGTTTAACCATTTCAATTAGTGGAAGTGAAGGCTAAAGTTATTCAAATATTAATTTTGGCTAATTTTTGCTTCATACGAGAAGTCGGCCAGGGCTCCTTGACCGACAATAATGTTGGTTAGGTCCGAAGTGGTCCGGTTCTTTATCATGTCTTCAGGTTGCTTAGATCCGGTCTTTAATAACTATGGTTGGGTTCTTTATCCTCTCATGAAAGAGCGGGAGGGAGTGCACAAATTTTCGAGAGGGGATTTTTTTTTTTTCAAAAAAAAGAAAACATAATACTGGGAGAAAGGGGTACGTTCTTTGGGTTGGGTTGGAATATGGGAATATAATTTGGAATCTAGGTTTTATTTGCCAGAACGATATCCTACATTTTTTTAACTTTAGTCTTCAAATTTTATATATTTTGTGTTTCAACACATAAATCGAAAAGTCAAGTCTCACATACATTGTAACAATCCTAAACTTTAAAAAAAAAAAAACTTTTAATACACGATGATTCGTTTGAACATGATGGTCCTTAGGAACCATCGCTACTTTTAAAAGCTTTTCGTTTAAAAGCATTGTTGCTTCCTTGCTCTTGCCACGTCTACTAAAGGACGTGGGCTTTAGGCGTTCCAAGCGTAAGCTAACGCTCACACCTGTAACATAATAAAAGAATAAAAAAATATATTAGTAGAATTTAAATTCAGAGAGGTGAGGACTCCTATCTTAAAAAACTTATGAGATTTTTCTCTCTGGTTGAAACACAGTGAACTCCTCTCTCTAGCCGAATTTTTATCGAAAGTTCCCTCTCAAATATTTTATGTGTAAGTGACATCGTCTTCCTGAAAAATAGTTTGTTTTTAATAAATAGTGATATTTCCGTCCATGATCTTTATTTTATAAGTTTTGTATGTAAGTGACCTCATTGTCTCGAAAAATAATCCATTCTTTTTAAAAATAAAATGAAATAATTATTTCTGCTTATTATCATGAATTTTAGGCGCGATAAATTTTATGCGCACACGACCTCATTATCTTGAAAAATAATCTTTTTAATAAAAATTATGATATTTTATCTATGTTAGAAATTTTAAATGCTGTAAATTCTTAGAAAAATAAATTTATTTATTTTTCTTGTCTATTGTTAGAAAATGATACTATCAAATTATTAGAAATAAATGTGATATTTCTGCTTTTAGTAAAATTGTGAGATTTCTTTCTACTGTTTTTAAATATTTAGACATTGTAAATTTCATGTGCAAATGACTGCCTTATTATTGATATTTTTGCATTTGATTATAGCATTGTTGTGAAATGTTTATTTGCAAATTAACATCCCATAAATTGTGATAATTCCGTAATCTTGAATTTCTATAAGAGTTTTTCTATACATATTAGATTGGTAATTATGCTAGAATGTCTTTACGAACTGCTACCTTTCTAAATTTGAGCCCAAAATATTTGATTGGTTGAAATGTTATTGAAAGTGACTGTTATTAATGGTGCCAGTGAAATTCATATTAATGATTTCAGTGATATGTTGAGTACATGATATTTGCTGCTTTCGAATGTTTAAAGAGAATTAGAAATAATTTAAGTATGCAAGTGGATTCGTCCGGTTCGCCGGTGAGGTATAAGTGGACCTATTCGGGACGCCGGTACAGATTAAGTGGACTCATCCGGTACGCCGGTGAGGTATAAGTGGACCTGCAGGGATTAAGTGGACCTATCTGGGACGCTGATAGGGATTAAGTGGACCCATCAGGACGCTGATGGGGTGCATAAGTAACCTACTTGGGACGTCAGTAAAGTATTTTATGAAATCCTTTGAATTATGCACTGCCGTTAAAATGTTATATACATTTCAATTATTCGGATTATACTTAATTATGCATTTTTTGAAGTGAAATTGTTAATGCATTTCTGTTAATATATCTCCTTTTTGGAAATATTGATATCTTTCAACCATGATTATTTTTAGGATTATGATGGTCACTTACTGAGTAATCAAACTCATCAAACTATGGTAAACATTTTTCAGGATAACTGCGGTTTCATTTGTGTGCTCGTCAGGATCAACTTTGGGAAGATATTCTAGTTGTGCTTAAACTTTCTTTTGTTACTTTTTAAAAATTTGTCATTGTAAATTTGTACTAAAAAGAAATGTATATATATGGTTTGACTGTCACATCTCAGGAATATCAGTATTGTAAATTCTTGGGGTGTGACAATAGTCCTCTTGTGGACCATTCTAAGCAAAAGTGATTTATCGATACTCGGACTAGGCTCGACGTGCTAGACCAGTCGAGTTTGGAAAAACCCATGATACCTGGGTATAAGGATTTACCGAGAAGGGTTTAGTGGGTTAGGCCTTGATGAGGTCGAAATATGCCCAAATAAGAGCCGATGGACTGTGTGGCCCGTGCGAGTGATAAATAGCCTTTAGAGACAAGGTTAAAACATCGTCGTTATTTGATCACATGACATGTACATAGATAGCCATTTGAGATTTGCCAATAAGGGTGAAGCGTGTACACGTACAAGAGATTACCCCTATCCACTATAGAGTCATAGTTGCATGAAGGTATGAAGGATCATGATTTTTTGACTCTAAGGGAGAACCTTAAATCCATAAACTTTGATTGCATCCCCTAATCTAGTGGTTGACTTCGGTGGTCCAATCATGAGCCCCTGTAGTGGGCTGTGGGTCATGAGAACTGCAAGGTCAGTCTGAGAAAGTTGGGTGGATTGTGGTCCACAATTGAAGGTGGAGTGCTTCCGTGTATTGATAAATTTCTAGATCTAACGGATCTGATTCCCATCAAAATTATTTAGTTTTATTTAATTTTATGGTATATGATTTTTAGAATGTTTATTTGAATTTTTGTGAATCTTCTAATACTTTATTTTTGTCATTTGGATTTATAAATTAAGATAAATTAATTTTCCAATGTCTTAAATAAAATGTAATATTTAAAAATTTTAAATACAAAATAAAATATTTTCTAAAATTATATGAGATCCTTCATAAATATGGGGGTCCAATTTAGAACATGCGGGATTGGATGAGGCCCACATATACCCACCAAAGGGTGGCACGCCCCAGCCATGGGGACTAACTTGTCCTCCAAGATTGGGTGATAGTTATCCACTTGTTTGTTGGCTTATCTTTTGGGTATAGCCAACTTACATAATAAGATTGAATATTTGAAATATTTAGTATATCTTTGAATCAAGATTGCTTGATGTAAAAAATAAGGATTGGATATACTAAAATAGAAATGAAGATATATACTTTTTTTTATTTAAAAATTTGATAGGAATAAATCTAGAAAAGGGGAGGATAAAGTTCTAGATCATCTTTTTTAATCTTGACTGTGGATCAAAGAGATGGATGGTTCAAATCTCTGACCCCACGGGTTTCCTTAGATCGACGATTAAGATTTGATCCTACGAATTGAAGCAATCCCCAAGGCATAGAAAATCTATATAAAGAAGCTCTTCCAAATAAAATCTTTATATATATTCTCTCCTCTCTCTAAGGGTGTATCTCTCTCTCTCAAAGATCTCTCTATAAGTGGCACGCCCCACCTTGGGCTTCAAGATCTCTCCCAAGCTATTCTAAGGGAGGCACACCCCAACCAAAATCTCTCTTAAGCCAAGGGGGCATGCCCAAGTCATCTCTCTCTTGTTTCTAGGTGACATGCCCAAGCTAAGGTTAGCTTGTGGTGGTTTGATTTTTGGATAGCAAAAGGGAGGATCTCCTTGCTAGTAGATCTCTCCCTCCATCTTTGACCTATCTCTCATACCTCCAAAGATCAAGTCAAAGGTGCTAGAGTAAGATTACGGCATTGAGGTCTTAAGTAGTTGGCATTGAGGTTTTAAGTAGTTGGCTCTAGATTGAGATCCATGGCTCCAAAGATCAAGCCAAATGGGTCTGAGCAAGACTAAGGTATTGATGACTTAGGTAGATGGTTTTAAGATTGAGATCCATATACCATTGAGAGGATTTTACCATATGTAAGAGAATCAAGAGACCGATCATAGATCTCAAGAACCATCGAAAGGAGGAGACTCAGTGTGGGGTGTACTAAACCCGGTTGAGGTAATCGCCAACAATTTTACTTTTGTGATGTGATCTTCTCTTCCCATAAAGCAACGAGTTAAGATTTTGATTTAAAGAATTGTATTCAATAGTGGTAACAGGTGGGAACTATGTTTCTTTTTTTTTCTTTTTTTTTTAATTGAACATTGTTATAGATCTCAATCTAGAACTAACTACCTAAAGTATCAATGTCTTACTCTTACTCAAGCCTCTTTGGCTTGATCTTTGGAGAGATGAGAGATATGTCAAAGAGAGAGGGAGAGATCTACTAGCTAGG